TGTTAAGAGAGACAAAAATACAATGCAAAAAAGGTTTAGATGTTCAAGAAAAATTTGCAGATCTACTTTAGTTATTATTTTATTACATACCTATTCTAAAGATGTTCAAAGCAAGAGTCAGTATCTACTTATAAAGGTAAGTACATGAGTTAACACTAGTTACAGGACTAATCAGTCATCTGAATAGTGGCGAAAAATGAAGCAAAGTTTAAAAGAAAAGAGTTCTCTGAAGTATTTATCAATATTTAAGGAACAAGGTTTTATTATGTTTTAGTATAGGACAATATTTAATTATTTCCTTGTAGTTCTTGAGTTTTTAGGTGTTGGTTGAGGAATGAAACTCGTATATGTAGGTAAAGCTTTCGGCACTGATCAGTGCCTTCTTCAGTAGTTTTTTTTTTTAACATTTGTACATTATTATTTTTACAATATCAAAATTGTTCTACAAGAAAAATTTTTTTTTGTTTTTTTTACAGTTCACATTTAATTTTTATTAAATTATATTTTTGGCCTACCTTTAGTACACGTTGGGGTGTGTCATTATATTTGTTGAAATGTTTGAAATCCTTTTTTTATTATTATTATTATGTAATTAATTTTTATTATCTTTGTCATGTCCGTTTTTGGTGCTGTAATATCCGTTGAGATTGTATGGGTGTTGTTACCCCCTTTTTTTCGTTTGTTTTTCGTTTTCGGGCCCACATGCACGAGTTTCATTCCTCAACCAACACCTAAAAACCCAAGAACTACAAGGAAAAAATATAAATTAAGGTGCAAGAAAAAAAAAACTTTAGGAAAGGAGATTTCCTTTTGTAAAGTACCAATAATATATTAGTTGTTAAGCTGTTCAATAATCGAAAATTTTATTCACGAAGTGTGTCTTCTCAATTGTGTACATAGTGTTAAAGATTATGTCTTGTAAATATTTTCTAATATTGGCGGAGAAAAAAATTAGTTTTGTAGTTAAGGCTGAGGACTTGCATACAGAGTGAAGTCAACGATTAATTTTTAGGCATTTCTGCATTACCAACTGTACAGGATTAGAAGACAAATTCATTTGCATATTTTTGAAACGTATTTAAAAATATGTTTTATAAAAAATTACCTATATCTTTTTACTATTAATAAAAATATACAAAATATAATGGCTATTTATGCAACCAGTTACGAAATGATTTATTTTATGAGTGGATATTTGGAAGCCGAGCAGAGCGAGGTCTAGCAACATAAATGAGCTACACAAAACTGCATTTCGTAATGTGTTACATAAATACATACTTTTGACTAGATTATTAACTAAATTGTTTTGTTAAAAAATTACTAACATCTATGCAGCCAATATTATTTTATTGTATTGTTAGTTGCATATGCATAACAATATTCATTTTATTGGCAAATATAAAAGCATATTAATTTATTCTCAACGACTTATTGTAGTGTGTTTATATTGCTTGTTAGAGTTATTTAGTTTTTAGGAAAGTCGGTTATTTTGTACTGATTTGGAAGGAAAAATAAGGACCAAAACAACATTGTTACTACGTTGTAAGTTTACCCTTCTTTAATATAAACTTTCAATAACTATATATATATTGATTTTCAAACAAAAAAGGTTTATATTTATTTGTTATCTTTTCCCAACTTAATATTTCGTAACCAGTTTAATAATATTCAACTTAATGCAACTGGTCGAATAATAATTTTGACACTTGCTGCGATTACAAAAATTTCACTTTATGTGTCAAAATTATAATAATGTTTATTTTGCCTCCACAAATTAATTTTTTTTATAAAATTCAAAATAAACTAAAAATAAAATAGTATCTTAAATGGATCTTTGCGAAATTCCATTTTTTATATGTTAAAATAGGTACAGAAGACAGAGTTTAATAGTTCCTAATTTCTTTTTCTTATAATAATATACAAATTACAAATTTTTTAATAAAATCTATATTAGTTCTTTATTGAATTTAAAATTTGTCTGCCATAATTTGCTAAATGGTCCAATTCATGGCATTTCCGATCCTCTTGTTGGTACAGATTTTCACGATGTCAAATATAGCCTATATCCTGTCCAGTGAATATTACAGATGCAGTGCCCTGAATCGATATTCAAACACTCAAATAATTTTTTCGTATTTACTGAACCTATTAATTAGAGTAGTACATATTGTTAGATATATAAATTTAATTTTAGTGTTTGTTTATGGTTCTTATACTTACAGGGTGATTTTTTTCGCATTAATAAATAAACAAATAATTTCTTATCAAGATGAGTTCGCAGATGTTTTGTTTTAAATATACAAGGTGTTTGATTGTAAATTTTACCTAAAAAATACATATTTTAGCAATAAAAAGATGTAAACAGGTTTACCATGGGTGCGCGTGCGAACGGCGCTTCTATAATTTTTAACAAAAAATATGTACGACACTAACGTTTTCACTTTTTCATAGAAAATTATTTCGTAATTTAAATGAATAATAAAAAGCACCTTATTTTATTTCATCTTTATTTGACTTGTAATAGTTTTATATAATGCTGATTGGTATTCATTTTTCTTCGATGAGGAAATATTGAAAAAAAAAAACGAAAAAAATTAGAAATTTTAACACCCCGTATCTTTGAAACAAAGCATCTGCGATCTCATGTTAATGCTAAATATTTGTGTTATTTTTGGTTAAGAAATCACCCCATGAGTGAGTATACAGGGTGTCCCGAAATTAGACGGTCATATTTTAACAGCGTAATCGACATCGTTTTCGAGATATAGGGTGTTACAAGTGAAGTCCTGATGGCACATTTTTGTAAATATTTTCTAAAAATGTTAAAAACTATCAACAAAAAAACTTAGGGCAATTTTACCCTAAGCCCCCCCTAATTTACCCACCTATGAAGATGATCAAAAACTAGGGTTTAGTCCATTAAATTAGAGCGTAAAAAGGTAAGCATTTGTAACAAATTTCACTTAGTTATCTTTAAACGTTTAGAAAATATTTACAAAAGAGAGTCATCAGGATTTCACTTTTAACACCCCGTATCTCAGAAAAGAAACGTTTTCGAACCTATGTTTATATTAACTTTTACTCCTATTTTAGGATGTAGATTATGCTGTTAAAATATGACCGTCTAATTTCGGGACACCCTGTATACAGTATGTCTCCCTAAGTTTGGAATCATATGGAAAACTTTTTTATTATTAATTTTAGGATAAAGTTATTCTTCATAAAAAGTTCTGCATTATCTAAAACCTAGAATACTGTCATCAAATATCAAATTTTTTCAGTAGTATACGAGGTTTGTCAAAAAATATGAATTTTACTCAAAAGTACCTTTATTCTTTATACGACTAATTAAAATTTTATATTTGATGGTTGTATTTTAGGTTTTAAACCATGCTCGACTTTTTATAAAAGAACAACTTTTTTTCCTAAAATTAGTAATAAAAAAGCTTTCCTATGCCACCAACTGTCTACCTACGTAAATTGGCGGCATATGAAAATCTTTTTTATTATTAATATTGGGAAAAAAGTTATTTATAAAAAGTCGAGCATGGTCTAAAACCTAAAATACAACCATCACATATCAAATTTTATCAGTCGTATAAAGAATAAAGGTAGGTACTTTACTCTTGAGTGAAATTCATATTTTTTGACAAACCTCGTATACCACTGAAAAAATTTGATATTTGATGACTGTATTCTAGGTAGGTATTAGATAATGCAGAACTTTTTATGAAGAAAAACTTTTTTTCCTAAAATTAATAATAAAAAAGTTTGCCATATGATTCCAACTTAGGGGGACATACTGTATAAGTAAGATATACTTACAACCCTCAAACATACCTATTCATATTTTTACATTAATAAACTTAGTGTTTTCTTTCCTTCTAAAAAATATTTAACAAAAACGTTTGTAGATAATTTTAAGGACGGTCAAATCATATCTACAGTAAAATTCACTGTAAGTTATTTATATATTATAGGCACCTAATTTTATTCAGTGTAGGGTGAGGCATGTAGGTAATACACAATATTTTTGAAATATTACTAGGTACGCTAAAAATATGAAAATTAAAATTCAATTATCATTTACCTATTGGCGATTTACTCTGTACCTAACTAATAATAATTTATATTATACTGGAAATATTGTTTGATAGGTAGGTACTAGTAAAATATTATTTTTGAAAAATATCTGTAATCAAAGTAGTACTTTGTAAAGAAGTGTGACCTTTTAAAAAATGGGCATATTACAATTTCAAAACTGTAAAAAATAAAAATTTAACGAAGTAGGTAAAACTTTTTTCTATAAGGGAAGTGCGGGTTTCTTTCTAAATTTACGAAACAATTGGCCCAAGTTTTAAAATAGCAACTTGTGACAACCAATTATTGGGAATGAGAAGTTTAATCGATAATTACCTGAAGGGTCCTGATTTTTAATTATTAAACTAAATAACTCGTAACCCCTATGGAAATAATTCTTACGACACTCATGTGTACCCTCCTCGGTATTATTAACAAAACTCTATTTCTTTATTTAATAGGTACATAATTAGTAGGTAATCAAGTACTTAATTAGGGCATCAATGTATACTTAATCGTTATAATAAGAGGTATATCTATATTGTATTGTTATTTTTAATTTAAATGTGGGCCTACTATATAAATCTGTATATTTTTTATTTTCTCAACATCTCTCGGGCGAGGAGAACAGAATAGTTTCATGAAAAGTTCTATGTCAGAGTATAAAAATCGAACAACTCAAGCCTCCGGCGAGTTTCCACCATTTTAGCAACCCTCCGCATCGATTGGTGTTGCCAGGGGTAACCACCTTTCGTTTAGCCAATTGTAAATTCCCAGCGAATACAAGTCAATTCTTATTGGTACCCGAAATTTGTACAGCGAGCTATTCACGTACAGCTCCATTAGATGTAAACTGTAAGCTTCTGGGATGGATTTATATGTGGGTTAGAGAAAGACAGAACACCTGGGATAGAATATCTCGGCAACAGAACAAGGCTATCACAATTTAATGTCGTTATAGTCACTTGCTGTTTGGCTTAGACATAAGCTAGTCATATTTAGATTCGAGTTAACTATACTCCAAAATTTAATTGAATCAGTCACAGATATTAACAATATCAGTGCAAGCCAATTGTTTCATACTGAGTTATAGATAGGTAACTTAGAAGAAACTATACCTAGATGTCTCTAGTTTGATAAGGTTCTCAGGATTTGTGATTAGTGTTTAAAAAAGGTACGTATTTTTGTTTAAAATAAACTACAGATTACTGAATTAGGAAGGTTAAAAATCTAGTTCTATTAGACAAATAGAACAAGTGGAGGATTACCTATAATTAAGGAAATTTTAGTTGTGTGTTTTCACAAACCACTGGCCTGTCAAGTTTAATTTAAGTTTGCTTAAGTTATTTGAAGTTCTTGCTTTCAAATATTAAAGTTGTCTAAACATTTTATTTTAATTTAAGCATTAAAAACATCTGTATAGGTAAATTCCTATAAATCTCTTAATGCAAATTAGAAACTAATTAAGTTAAGTTAGTTTTCTTTTTTAAGTCTTATAAATTTTTATTTTTTATGTTTTATATTTTTTAAATATTTTTTGCATTCTATATTTTTTTTGTATAGTTTTGATATGTGTAGATATGTTTATTTAACAACTATTATGATGATCAAGATAAAAAAAAACATACCTATTAGGTACTTATTCAGTAAATTGAGTTTAGACAGAATGTTTATGAAACATTATTTTTTTTTTTTAAGAAATATAGGTAGATATACCAATTCCTAATTTAGTAAATATTTGTTTTGTTTAATAGATTAACAAAACTCTTGTTAAATTTCAATTATCACTATTATTGACTTTAAATAATAGGTACCTATCTAAAGGATAATCATTAATCTAATAGGTAGATTTTTATTTAATTTTTTTCTACACTTCATTATCTACTTCATGCACTAACTATAGAATGAATAAGTGTCCATATATCCTTTTAAACGGATATAATTTCATATCCATTCTAGTAAGGATATAAAATCCACCAATCATATTTAGTACCCGGCGGATTACCTACTCTTCTTTTACCATTTCAAATTAGTTGACAAATCTGTCAAATGAATTGTGAGTATATTTCACATTAGATATCTATTAATAATGTCTATATTTAAAACGAAACCGTAAATTTTAACCAATTTAATTATCAATATTAAACAAACTTATATACCTACTATGTGACTTGATAGCGCGAAAATGAGTGTCGGGGCTGAAATCAATTTATTCTGCGAAGGCAAATTATTTGACGTTTTTTTTGACCTATAAGTGATATCTATCAATTGAAAAATCTATTAATTCAATTTTGCCAGGGGTAAAGACACTTTTATCAATCCTAAGTTTTACGTCACTGTCCAAATATTTTTTTTAAATACATTTTAAGAAAAATTATTTACTCTAATAGAATACTCAAAAAGTTTTTAGTTTTAGAGCTATAATTGCACTTAGAAAGGTTGATACATTTTATTTTGACTATACTTTTTACCTACGAAACATTAAACATTTCTATTACCTATTTATAAACGTTACCGTAAAAAATATTAGGTTGTGTTTTTTTTTTAGAAAATTGTGCCAAATTTCGAGAAAATCTTTCGGATTCGGGCGTCGGCGGATAGAATGTATGTTACTAAATAAGTTTTAAATTCAATGCATCCACGTATGTAAGTGCAAAGCTCTCGAAAACTAACCACTATTTGAGTTTCAAACAAGATAACATGAGTTGCGTTAAAGATATTAAAAAATTTAATATTATAATCAAAATTAATATTTAGACAGTGCCCTAAAACTTATGGGCAAAAGCGAATTACATAACTGGTTTTTCGACAAGCTGTCCCAATAAACTTTTTGTCAAATTCAGTAAATAGTAGTTTTTATTCGAATGTGTCTTTTAAAAACATAATCGAAAAGTAGAACTCTTCTATATACCTACTTTAAAGGAACTGATGCGAAACACTTTTGCGACTCAGGCCAAAAATATAAGGCAGCTCCGATAGGTCAACATTCTTTTTTATTTTCACTTTACAGTTTACTTATTTATTGCTGGCTATAATTTTTTTTCACTGTAAAATAGTACCTAATCCATAATGCACATGCACATCAAATTTGAACACAAATATTTTTAATTCAATAAGAAAAAAACAATTGTTCAATTATTGTTAACAAGAATATACCATATAGGCAACTAGTTTTTCTTATAGATCACAGCCATCTGAGTTGTAAGAAAAATTGGAAAAAATATTTCAGATTTAATTTTATATATTTTTTTAATTTTTATAAGCACATTCGAATAAAAAGTAGTGTATAAAACACGGACGAGAAGTGTTCTTTCAAATTTTCATCCTTATAAACTACTATATTACAAGGACGAAAGGATAAGTTTTCGTCGGTGTTTCATACAATATTTTTTATTCGAATGTGCTTAAATATTAAATAATATACACAGATAATTAAATTTTGAATGTTATTTTCTATTGTTCTTATAATTGAGATGGCTGTGATCTTTAACAATAGATATATAGGTATTCTTGATAATAATTGCAATTCTTTAATAATTCTATCTTCACTCTGAATTTTCTTATCACTTAAGTTTTTTATTTGCTATCTTTTTTTACTGTAAGTACCTATGTAAGGCTTAATAACCCGACAAATTTCTCATTCCAAATTTCGTTGACTTAACCACCAGTCCGACGAATAAAGGTGGCGTTTTGTAATTACTTGTTTTCAAATACAATCTTTGTAATTATTTTTTACAATTTTCCCAATTGTCACTTTAATTCAGTCTCTTTCCATTAACTCATAACACCAGTAGGTAGGTATATAAGCAGTCTCTTGATTTATTATTTCTTACAGATTTTTCCTTCTATTAGGATGCTTAATATTGAGTTTATTAGTTAATTAGTTTCTTGTCTATAATTCTTTTTCTATAATTACTCTTAATTTCACTTCAGTTCACCCTCTCTTTCCAGTAACTTATATCTCATATAACCAATATCTAGACATTTATTATTTTTAATGAAATCTTCCTTATCTTTTAGGATGCGTAATATTGGTTTTATTAGATAATTATTCTCTTGTCTATAATTCTTCTTCTACAATTACTCCAATTTTTACGATAATTTATCCACGCTTTCCAGTTATTGATATCACCAATATCTAACTCTCCTAATTTATTATTTCAAATAGATTCTTCCTTATCTTTTAGAATGCTTATGTTAAATAAATTTAATTATCTATAGTTCATTTAAATCGGTGCAAAATAATATAGTAACTCTTTAATTAAAATGAGTATAGTAACAGAAATAGGAGACAGGGAAAATTTGTCGTCTTATTGAATTTAATTTTGGAAAAATTCAAAATTATATGTAAATGAATATATTTTGGAGTTTTCCATTTATTCAATCATAAATGCCTGTACTCAAATTTGTTGTGCATATGGATTTATGCATGAAGGACTATTTTACAATAGAAAACAAATTGCTAAAAAGTGAACTGAAAATAAAAAATAATGTTTAAAAATAGTAGCTGCTTAACTTTTTCGGCCTTGAGTTGGCCCAAGTCAAATAAATATATATTTTATTTGAATGTATCATTATCATTATTAGAAAGTAAACATAATTGTCGTCCTGTTTTGCTATACTATCGATGTATGGAAATTCCTACACTTACACCGAAAGTAGAAAACTGGACGACAAAAAAAGCTTGCAAAGGGATTTTCTTTTTGGTATAGACGTCTAAAAGCAAATTATTTAATTTCCAGCAAAAAGTTAAAAATCCATCGATAAGAAAAATTATTTTTAATTTGACAGGTTACACGACAGCACTCACACCGAGACATAGTACATGTTATTAATCCCCCTCCCCTGCACCCAACTACAAATAGCAAACAAAAAACAGGATATGGGACTTTTTGCAAGAGCGTTCATTCATAATGTATTTTTGTACCAATACCCTACTAATGGCATTTCTCTGTTTGATTCTACCTTTATAGATAATTTTCGGTATTTCATTTTCTAAATAAGTAAATTATTAATATTAAGAAATAGACCACGAATAGGTACCTAATTTTTTTAGCTCTTCGGCCTTCCTTTGTATGCTGTGAAGCCACCGTCGCCGTCGGTTGTTTTAACTTTTGTAGCATTTTGATGTAGATATGAAATCTTTCTGGATTTGATGGAATATAACTAATGTATGATTGAATGTGGCAGCTGCATTTAACCAGTGGCGTAACCACACATTTTTTATGTGAAGGGTTTCTGAGAATTATGGAGGGGGGGGGGGGTCCATCAACAAAGTGTAATATTTTAGATAAGAATGTTTTTATTAAAAATATTAAATAAATAATTTTTTATAAAACAATAAAAATATGTCTAAAAACAAACAGTCAATATAGCAATCAGCGCCAATACAATGGCGGAAACGGTGACGCGAAGGCCCTCCATGGGGGTTCTGACCCCCAAAATCCCTCGTGGCTACGCCATAATCTTTTATTTTATCTGGCTAAAATTTCATCAACAGTAAAACTAATTTCTTCAATTTAAATCTATAACTCACTAACCACCTAAACTTCCTATAGTCCCAAAGCCAACATCCATATTTGTAGAGCTATAGGCATTAGGTACAAGAGGTACGTGCCTTCCAAAAATTTGACTTATTTTCTTAACATTTTCGTTATGCTCATTCGACAATAAGTATAAGAAATGTTAAACCCTCCACCAGGGCCGCCGAGAGCAAGGTCGGGCCCCGGGACAATTTTCCAGGTGGGGCCTCGCGATAATTTTATAAGAAAAAAAAAACTAGACCCTCTCAATATCACATTTCTAAAAAAAGTCTTCTCTCTTGTGCAACAGTCCAAACGTCCTTACCAGAGCTGCCGGGCCCCCCTTATGCCACTTCCGGGCCCCCACTTGAGCCCCAGGAATTAGTCCCGGCTACCCCCCCTCTTGTCGGCCCTGCCCTCCACCAATTTCGGTGGGCCATTTTCTCTCTCCAACGTTTTAAAGTAGTGCATTAGGAGGCATGCTCGTGACTTACTTACTTGTGGCTGATTTTTGGTTTAGTTTCAAGTTTTTGTTAGGTTTTTCACAAAATTCACTTCTTTCACCATTGTTGCTAGGCCATTTTTTTTTCTGCAATGTTTGAAGTTGAGCGTGAGAGTGCATGCGCGTGACTTATTTTTAAAAAGTGGACGT